GTGACACTAAGTTACTAAAAAAAATGATTAGAAGATTTTAAATAAAATCTTTAGAATGTCTTAAGAAGTCCTATTAAATTTTTAAAAAGAGTCTTTCAAAATATTTTAAAAAATTCTAAAACATTTCTATGGAATATTTTAAAGTAATTTTTAAGCATCTTATAATACTTTAAAAAATATTTTTTAGCTTCAAAGATATATATAAAAAGTTAAGGTAATGGTTAAATTATTTTTATTCAATACAAGTCTCAAAACTTCTAATTATGTATTTTTTTTTTTTTTAATGCATTTTTGTTAGTATCTTTATTTCTTTAGTTTTTTATTCTTGGATCTGGTTACCAATTCTTGGATTTTAATTATCAAATCTTAGACCCTATATATCTTATTATAATTCTCTAATAAGTTTGTTACTATCACTAATTTTTTGTGGTTCTTATCTCTTAATTTGTATTGCTAGACTTAGTAATGAAATTAGAAATACCATTCTAAGACTTCCTTGGTAGTCTTAAAATAATATTTTTGCTGATCTTCTGAATAAGAGAAAATGGAATATATGAAAAGAGTGATTTATCCAATACAAAAAAGAAAAATGAAGTAATCAATTAAAAGAAATTGATTCACTAGTAAAGACTCTCTTCTATCAATCTCTATTGGCTAATATCAATAATTATCAACTTTGTTTTTTAATTTTAATCTTGTAAAATTTTATTTTATCAAATTTTTTTAATTAGCTTCAAATCAATGGAACTCTAATTCTTAAATTATAATGATGTTATTCTCTTTTTTATTTTTATAGTCAGGTTGGACCTTCATTTTATCAAATTACAAGATTGACTCTCTTATTACATATAGACTCAAAAGAAAAAAGAATAATGATTACAATCATTTTATTTCTTTGGTAAAAAATAAAATAATATTAATACAACCTATGAATTAAGAACTCTTCTCTTATGTTGTTACAATCTGGATAGTTTTTTTTCTACCTCTAGGAGCTAAAATTAGGACTAATTGCATATTGATATACTTTTAATTATCTTAATCATCTATTGGTTGCATGAGATTCTATTCAAAGCTTGGTATTAATGCTACTATAATTTCTAACTGCTAGTAATTATCCTACAATTATACCTAACAACTATGTAGCTATAGAAGAATTATCTGAAAGCTTTTTGAATTTATAAACCTCTTTAGAATTATTATATGGTCCTAAAAGCTTGTGTCACAATTTTCTTGGCTTTTAAGAAGATTCTATATGACCATCTAAGAATTGAAATTGAGATCTTCTACAATCGCATTAATACTTTTTCTATGTAATATTATTAATCTTGTGAGCATTTGCTCTTCTTATACTTTGGCATAGCTATTCTAATTTCTTGTGTTTTTAGAATTATATTTGTCTTTAATAATCTTGTTTCTTGTAAGCTCTTAATTATGCTCTAAAATTTCACTTTTTATTTTTTTTTCTTATTTTATGATAATTGAGTATGTTAGATTAAGATTTTTATAAATAAAATCTAATTTTATCAAATTTTTAGGATTGTAACCTTTGATGGTATAAATCCTAGCCTAATTCCTTTAGTTAGGCTAATTAGGATTAAAAAAATAAAAGTTAGAAAATTAAAATAATAATAATATAGTTTATTTTAATAATTTTAAGATCATTAGTCATTGCTATACGGATTGATTGGAAACCTATGAGTTCACCTACAATTATCTCATATGATTTAGAGTGAAGAAGTATTAGAATTTTCTAATAGATTTAGTGAAGTTTAGCAATGATGGTTTTGAAGCTCTTTTCCAAATTCAACAAATTCAAGTGGCAAAGTGGTCTTTTTCAATTAATAGAGGCCTTCAAATCCAATGGCGGCATTGGATTCACCCCATGGAGTGAAGAAAACAAAGGTCAGCACCTTCTCCTCCAAAATACAAGTGGAGCAATGAAATTCTCATTTTTAAAGGATTTTACAATAATTGCTAAAAACTTTAGATATAAAAACTTGCATAAAAATTACATATAAATGTGGATAGAGGCATGTGATTAGTCAATTTTAGCATAAAAAAGATGTTTTGAACACAGTGGTGAAGTTAGATTTACCAAAAAAAAAAAAATTGATTACTTACAATAGCCATCAGCCTTAGTAACGAGATTAGCTCTTGGGTGAATGAAGGCCATAGATTTAGATTATGAATCTTAGAAATTAAGGGTAAAAATTTAGCCACTCTTCTACAAGCCTCCACTCAATTGTATAAGAGTGGCTTGGTTTTTCAAGCCCTCTTTCTCTTCTCTTTTGGTGAAGGGCAAAGCTATACCAAACTTTGACCAAAAATCCTAATCTTAACCTCATTTTGAATTTTAAATCTCATTGTGAACTTTGTGGATGTATGTGCATGGATTTTGAGTGGTGAATGATAGTCATTGGGTTTTAAAACATGCTTCATTGTGGTAAATAGCTCCCTTGGCTTCCCAAATACTCCAAGGGTTTCAAGACCCTCAAATTTTTCTCATTCAATTATTCAATTTTTTATTTTCAATGTAAAATTCTTTGCAATTGTAACTTTTGTTGATAGCTTTCTAACAAGATAAGACTTGTTCAATTTGGAGTCGAATTGAAATTTTGGTGAATTTTTGAGTGTGAGAGAGGTGACTGCCTTCACAGTTTGGATTAATCGAGTTTGGGAAGGCATTTCTCAGTACCTTATAATTGGATCCTTTTGAAATTTTGGAAGAATTGAGGTTTATAAGCTGAGCTTTGAAAGACACAACATTTGTTGAGTTTTAAGACAAATTGAAATTTTTGTGAATTTCTAAGTGAACGGGATTGGTCACCATGGGAGTTTGGATCACTCAACTTCAAAGGGGCAATCCTTAGGGCTTGATTACTAGATTGCAAAAAAATTTATTAAAACAAGAGCGTCTTTAAATAAAACTTGCAACAAACTAAGAGTCATTCAATTTGGAGTTAATTAAAAATTTTGGCAAATTTTTGAGTAGAAGGGGGTTGCTGCTATCAATCCTTGGGCGTTCTTAAGGTACCTTTGATTTTACCTCCCTTATTTTATTTTTACTTTCATCTTCACAGTGACTCCAAATCTCTACATTTCAACTTTTGGCTAATAAGTTTTAACTTTTAACTTTTAATTCTTAATATTCTCTATTTTACTTTTAAATTTAATTTTTAAATTTTAGCTTTTAATTTTAACTTTTTAACTTTTAACTTTTGATTTTTATTTTTAATTCAAACTTAAATTTTTTTTCTTACTGTGAGTTAAAAGTAATAACTTAATTAATTATTTTTATCATTTTTTTATAGTGAATTTCATTTAATATTTTCATTTAACATGCTTCATTGTGGTAAATATTGGTAACCATTACTTGGAAGGTGTTAATTTTAATTGAACTACAAAGACCTATATTTCAATTAACTTAACAATTATACCATTGGGAGTTCTCCCATTCTACCTCTTCAGCTCATTGTATAGTACTAATTCCATAGAGTGGTGGATTTTAGGCTCACACTTCTCTAGTAGTTCTTGAACTCCTTCATTTATTGTGAGACCCTTCTTAATCATGTTCTTAAATATATTAGCCTCACAGTCTTTTTTTCCAAATCCTCTGCATATTTAAAAAAATAATCCAATTCTATCATTAAATGAAGTAATATAAATATTGATGCATAATTAAAAATATTATCAATAAATTTAAATCAATCAATTTATGATGGATTTGAAAATCTATAGATTTACCATCTTTAGAAGATGTATTATAAAATGAGAAAAAAAAACAAACAAACAAACCTAATTTAATGAAGATTTTTTAATAAATTTTTTTGATTGTAAATTTTGAATTACATACATTTTATTGGATCTATCTGAATTTTTATAAATTCAAATTTACAAATAAATTTGAAATGATAAATTTAAATATTTATTTTAAATTCATTTGTAAATAAAATATACATATTAAAATAAAATTTTATGAATTAAAATAATTAATTCATCAAATAAATTTAAAATAATAAATTTTTAATTTATGATATTTTAAAAAAAATTGAATTGTTATAAGTAATGGATTCAATTTTTCAGTATTAACATCTTGAACCATAAAAACAATGATTTCTAATAGAACATAATACCAAACTATTTTTTATAGATTATTAACACAAATTCTTTTTATAATTCTTATTTTTAAAATAGATGGATGAAAAAAGAACTCATTAATAGCCATGGAACAAAGTTGAATTTGTATATCATAGAAATGAGGTCTTTTTTACATTGTGATGAACTGTTTTTAAAAATTTTACTATTAGATAAAGTTAAGAAATAATAAATACATGGTTTTGAATTTGAACTAAACTAGAATGTTTTTACTTAATAAAAATGTTTCAAATTCTAAAATAAAATTTTAAATTAAAAAAAACATGTTATATTCATAACATTTATAACTTCTATATTAAAAATTCAATATTTATTTTATAGTATAATGAAAAATTTCTATTATCACTTATAATTTATTTTTTAAATTCATGCTTTTTCTACCTAAATATTTTTTTAATGAAGAATTATGAGTCATTAAAGTTTGATACTTATTTAGCTAAATGATTTTATTGAAATGTTATCTCAATTTTATGTATTTTCTTACCAACTTGATTATATGAAATCTCTAATTTCATGATGTCAACACATAGTTCCAATGGATTCCACAAGATTTGATCAATTTCATTACACAATTGAAAACATATTGAGCTTGAAATCCCTAAAGGGATTCCATTATTGTTTGTTCACAAAAGATAAGCTTTGAAGAGACTTTAATAGACAATATCTAAAGCTAAGGGTGAGCTGAACCTACAGAATACAATACTAAATTTCTTTGATGTGCTTCTGCAATGTCAAGGGACAACAATTATGGGACCTAGAAATGGAAATGATAATCCAATTGTAAAACCCACTAATTATTGCTATCAAACACATACTATACTAACTTTCAACAAAGAAGAAGAATATGGATTTTTGAAGATTGGCTATTTGTTTTAATAATCAGCTCACATATGTGAATTGTTGTGATCACAGTTTTATGGAATTAAGCAGTTGTCTGATTTTATGGTGATCACTTGGTAATCAGCTCACATAAGTCAACTTGTGTCACCAAGAATTATCACAACACCAAGGCTGTCAAGAATAGCACCACCTCCTCCATGAAACCCAATTACTCTACCAATAGCACTTGTGAATGGCTCACCCTTTTCATGGCCAAAAGGACCATAATTTTTGATATTGGTATGGATAGTCAATGATACTACACTATCAACGTTGACTACTTGACTATCTATACCAGATACATGTAGGGCTGTCTGGGACTTGCATCCGCTGATATGTGTGATGAACTCAAAGGGCTCAAATACTATCTGGAGTCACAACAATGATCTCTTAGGATATAATCAGAGATTCAAATTAACAGAGCAACAACAATACTGTTGTTTAATAAGGTTGCATATGGAACAGAGGGGGAAAAGAAATCAAAAAAACTGATTCTCATTGATAATAGGGTACATGGAACTCATGAGAAACAGTATGAAACTTACCTCTTTCTCTTGATGTCCATTGTAACCATCACAGTATCTTCTCACATAGTTCTTACCATCAAAGTTATACTCCACCTCCATTAAACCCACTAGCCCTGGAGATTGTGAGTATTTGAACTTGATCCGATTGATAGAGGTGCCCATATCAAGAAATTTGCCACCACCAGCACCTCCCCAAGGTCCTTGAATCTGTTCGTAAGATTAGTGCACCACATTCCCAGCCCACTGTTTAAATATATCTCTCAAATACCTCCGACCTGAAACGTACCCACAGATTCATGCATTCTTTCACTAGCTAGAAGAGCATATCCAAGGTACTTGAATTAGGCCTTATTCAATGCAATATCCAGCCAGCTTGCTATCATTTGCAGTAATAATAATAATTTAGTAAAATTCCTTGTAATGAACCAACTCGTTGGTTTTTGCTTGAAATTACCAAGTTCCTACTCCACACCAACACATGTTCAGATTAGTACACAACATGGCTTACCTGCGCTCTTCCCAGGGATCTAAGTGGAGGACTATCTTGCAATTCCAATGTTCTCTGATCACCTACGGAACATATACAAGTGCAAATAAAATTAATCTTAGAAATTAGAAATCATGCTAATACTTTTGAAGTCATTGCCACATTCTGCTATATCAACATCTCAAACTTGTAATCATTAATTGGCATTCATTGTCAGAAGCTCACCTCTCAAAAGTAGCCCTTTGATGTACCGCAGTTCTTTGCATATTTCAGGAAACAGCGGCCGCTCGTGAGAAATTGGATGCCAACATCTTTTAATTAGAGCAGCCAACTTCGGAGGACATTCTTTTGAAAGGTTAGGTCTCAAAGTGCCTGCCTTCACTTGATCTTTTATCAGTCTGTCAGTTTGATATATATCAAAGTAAGGAAGTTTCCCAGTCAGAATCTCCCAGCAGATGATGGCAAAACTGTAGACGTCAGCTTTTCTGGGGTTGAACCTGGAGCGCTTCTTGTCACCAAACTCAATGACCTCCGGCGCCATCCACTTGTTGGTACCTCGGTTCACAGTCTGATTTGAATATGTCTGAGAGGCGTTTTTGGTTTTAGCCAGACCAAAATCAGCAATCTTCACTGATCTAATTTTGGAAAATGGTCTGCTTGAAGGATCTGCAAGGTTGACGAGAACGTTTAGAGACTTAAGATCGCGATGCGCTATACCCTTACTGTGAATATACTTCATGCCTTCCCCAATTTGGAGCATCAAGGCAACAGCTTGTACATCTGAAAAAGGACGCGTAGGTGTGAGTCCTTTTTGTTTTCTGTAGCGCGAAATATCAGACAAAACAGTGGACAGATCCTTGTGCATTTCTTCCATGATGAGGACGCACTGGTCATCTTCCTTAGAGTAGCACAGCAGGCGTACTACATGAGGATGCTGCCCCAATATCTGTAAAGCAGCTATTTCCTGATCAAACTCCGTCGTATTACCAGTTTCGAAAGTCTTCATTGCATATTGTCCACCTATAAGCTTTGTTCTTCTTACCGTTGCAGACGCACCTTTACCAAGTTGGATGCCATCGAAGTTAAGATCTTGATATTTCAGGAATAATATACCAGGAGATGCTGTAGCCAAGCTGAAGTCATTTGAATCGTCGACGAATAATGATGACTCCGAGTCTTTGCCTTCACTATTTTTTAGGAATTGGTGCGACGCGTTAAGATGATCTTCCTCGGATCGCATTGTCTGCTTAAGCAACTGATTTGCAAGCCATTTCTCTATTGGATCGTCCACCTTCACAGATCTGAGGCGGTCCTTGAGGCTCTCTTCATCTTCCTTCATCGCTGTCAGCAGAGAAAACTCGTCCCCCACACTCAGCTGACCGCCGCACAATGCTGGTTCAAATGTGATGTATGACTCCTGGGAATTGTCCACAAGAATGCTTAGAAGAACAGACGTGTACCATTGAACGTCGTAAAGTAGTCGTGAAAAAGTCTCTTTCATCTCCCATTGTTCAATAGCTGCTCTTGGCCATTGTGAGGAAGTGATGCGGCTGGCATTGATAACCGTTTCCACATCCAGGAGCACCTGATGAAGCTCTTCAAGCGCTAGAATTGTTTTCTCATCAAGAAGGGGTGAGATTAGAATCTTTTGTAAACTATCTCGTGTATCTGAAAGCCTTCCAACGAGAAAATTACATTGGTGTCTGTTCATCAGATAATCTTCAGTCCCCACTTCAGTACTTGAACTCAATTTTTGTATTGTTTCCGTGCAGATATTGAGTAACTCATCCGCCTTGGGTACGGCTTTTGGGGAGAATCGCCTAAAATACGTGCGGAAACGCTCCATGAAGCGGAAGTGCACGAGCTCCTTCAATTAAAGGGTCTTCAGGATATATGTCGAGGGGGTACAATAACCTTAATCAATATTAATCCGCCAACAGATTCTGCCTGGCTCACAAGCAAGAAAGCATAATGGGTTGGTCGATAATCCTGGCTGCCCTCCCAATAATGTTCCGGTCACTATCACCTCATATATGAATGGCCTTGCTAAGCACAAAAATATAATTCAAAATATTGATTTCATCAAAAATTCTAGAGAATAATTTACAACTGTGCTACACTTTCAAAATCCTACAAGGCGTATGCAAGGAATCTGCAAGCTTACCACACAAAACACAACAGGCACAAAAGCAGCAGCAGCACTGCCGAAGCAAATTCAAAATCCAGAAAATCCTCCTGGGTCCGTTCCTCCGTTGTTTCTCCCAAAAATCCACTTCTGTGAAAACAAATGAGCAGTGTTTAGAGATCAAATCAAACACTACAATGGCCATCTACCTTAGGTTGTCTCATCAACCGGATCAGAGAAGGATACATTCTTCATGATCAAGAGGAAAGTCGTGATTCGAGGATGGCCTTCAAGCAGATTCTGTTGTAGGAAACAGATTAGGTTTATACCAAGCACATGGCGCATTACTTCTTCCTACATTGTTCAACATATAAGGTTCCTACTTCAAAACTTGCTTGCAACTCTGGTCCTTACCTTCAATGAATTTAAACCTAGATATGCCGATTACAACAGCAGCGTCCTTACAGACCTTCCTCTTCCACCTGAAACAAATCCACATTCAAGCAGTTGAGCATCGGACACGCGAGCATACGGTAATATTCCGAATCATCACTTATTAACTACAACAGATTCTTCTTGCATGGACGGCTCTTTCACAAGCAAGGGCTCCACTTCAGTTGCACTGGGTAACGCAAAGGCGGTCCTCTTACCATCAAGCCTAATCTAATTCTATAAGAGCCCTCGGGACGATATGTATATCCACATACATATCCGTGAAAACGATTCTAACAAGTTGCTACTGTAGGTCTAAGTACTTGTGCGAAGGAACTAATCAGCTGTATCGCTACGATTATTGCTGAACCAATCGAACATTGTCAACATAAGAGGGCGTTGTAACGATCTATAGATAGGCACCTGATATAAACACAACATTGTTCCATCCCATGGGTGGCCACTTGGTTGAGCTCCTTACCGACGACTGACAATAATCATGGTCTGTAATGCGGTTCTTCCGCCAGAGTTTGAAAACATGGAAAACAATGTCGAATAGCATTGTTACATCCCATGCCTGGTCTTGAGCCTACGATGAAGGGATTGACGGGATCTCTTTTTCAACTCCCCCAATTCTTGTTTAAACTACACAATCATTTTAAAGGAATCTCTTGCAGCAATTAGTAATCTACTAGACGCAAACAGTAACCCAACACCAAAGCTGCCCACGACAGCAATTCACAAAGCAAGACTTATTCATGTGTGATACGGGAATTCCTCGGCGCTCGCTGATGCACAAGGTGGAAAACCTGAGTGGTTCGATCATGAAGTCAATCAAAATTTCAAATGCCAACCAAAATTGGTTGTTTGCTTAGGAAAGGTTTAAACTGGCCTCTTTACAGTACCCAGACATAAAGAATGCGGCCTTACTATGGTACCTTTCACAGATTTGCACGCAATGTAATCATGATTAGTAATTTTTGAGACCAAAAATCACCATTGCATACTAATACAATTGTGATTGTGCATACCAAATTTCACTTTCAGAAAACAAAATCTCCAATTTTGGTGAATTTTTTAATGAGTTTCTATTTTTTACTCAGTAATTGATAGGAAAATATTGGTGATGGAGTTTTGAGATTTGATTGCATGAACGTGTACAAAGCATCCATGCTCACATCCCATCTCTTAGAAGAAACCTCCAAAAAGTTGTACAACACACATGAATTGCAATGACATATAGATTGTCATCTACCAATGTGACACCTAAAGAATCATTTTTCACATGCAACAATCATTTTATGTGTTGCTTAGTCCATATTGTACATACATTCAAATACAATTAATGATACAAAATTTGATTCTTTAGAAATAGAATTTTTATTTTTAATGATTTTCTAAAGCTTAAGTCCAATAATTCATTATAAAACATTTGATTGGGTGAGTATGTTGGAAACATCAAATCTTTGCCAATTTGTAAATTTTCAACCAGTTGTGAAAATCAAAGGTTACATCAAAGTGAAAAATTGCATCATGTTTGTCACTTTCATGTGATATCTGGAGGTTAAATCTTATAAATTTGATATCTATCTACTGTAATTAAACTCTGCAAGTCATTCTTTATTAATCTTTAAAAAATTAAAATTTTATAGTTCAAATTGAAATTAATTCAATTTTTAAGGTCTTATATGTAAAGAAATTTATAATGATTACAAAATACTTCAATGTCTCTAATTTTTGGTGGAAGGCTTAAGATTTAATGAAAAATAACATGATATAATTCAAAGTCAAAATTTTGTTTCTAAATTGAAGTGGATATATCATTTGTATAAGTATGACTATTTTGAAAATACTATAATTTTTTAAATATTTATATTTTTAAGTTTTAAAAAATACACTTGAAATAGACAAAGCATGTAAGAACATATATAGTAAAAGAATCTACTATTCTTTAGTGGCCCTCTTACCCTTCAAATTTGTTGTAATATTAATTTCTAAAAGATGGAGCCATAATGATCAAAAAGTCAAACGACTCCAAATTCCAATTTCTAAGCTCCATTTTGGTTTTGTAGTTGAATGTTATTGTTAATTTTATACTTTCTAAAAGTAAGTTATATGTTTAGGATTGCTTTATACAAGGACTTAGGACATCAAAACTTGAGGCTATGTTAGAGCCTTCCAATATAGCTTTCAAGCCAAGAAAAAAAAACTTTGATACATGGTTCCAAAGAAAAAAATTGGCCTAAAATTCTTGCAGGACTCAATTTTTTTACTTGAGGCTATGTTGTGTCAGACCTTATTTTTTGTGCATTAAAATAAAGATTTTAAAAAATAGTATTTATCCTCTAAACCATAATTACAACACCAATTTAGTGGGATTATTATTTATTCTAGTTTTTAATCTAATAATTATTAATATATAGAAATTTATATTTTTTTTGTATTTTGGATACTTTTAAGAAATTAGAAATATTATAGGAATTGTAAATATTATAAGTCTAATAAATTTTAATTATAGATTTTTATTAAACTTAGAAGGGAACTATGATTATTGTATTGTGAGCCATTCATTAGATAATATATATAAATTTAAGCATATTAGTAGTATTTTAGGCAATAGATGTTATTAAGAAAAAATGTACTTGTTTCTTTACTTGTAATATTTTTTTATATATGGTACAAAATATACCATCTTGGTTAAGCAATCTACTATCATAAATATGGGATCATAAAAGCTTGAAATTGAAAGATTTATAATAGAATCTATAGAAACAAATGACCATGGTTGTTCTGATATAGGTAATGGTTTAGGGTTTAGGGTTTAGGATTACATGGGTGTCCTAGAGGTTTTTCATCCTCAATATCTCTCAATATATCACAGCTTTTTTTGTTGTAAAATTTTGCCAAGGCTTAAAATCACCTAAAGACCTCTATAAACGTTTTTGTTTTTCAAAAAAATGTGTTTTGTTTTTTGTAATTTAGGGTTTGAAAAATCCTAATTAGGATCTTCAGACCCTGATTAGAGTTCTGACTTGTATATTTTTTCTCATGAAAGAACTAAGTATGGAGTCTAAATGCGTACAGAACACTGCTTACTCAAAGCAATCTCCCATAGATAGGTAGTTCACCTAGTCCAGGTCCAGAGAGTCCTTCAGGCTACTCGCCCATATGTCTTTGTCCGCTCTCCACCTGCTGCACCATCGGCTCTCCTTCCATCAGGACCATCATTGACGGAGTCAATATCAGCTCTATCTTCGACTTCTGCAAGTCTCCCACAAGCGACCAAGGTGCCTACCCCCGATGCATCTGTGAGTGTAGCCTTTCAGACTACGCCGCTTACTGCAGTGTCGCCTATAGTCACATTACAGATTCTTCAAAATCAAACATCGACATACTTGTTAATCACCCCACAGCCACGCCCATTTCTCAACCGACCCCAACAACAAAGGGCTTGGTGGCAGCGGGTACTGTGCGAGCCCGACCAACATCGACTTAGGCAATGAATTCTATAATGTCGCATACCTTGCACTCTAGTGGGCCGACCTTGAGTGCTCCAATGACTGGCTCAAACCGTCACGTCTCTATGGTCCATCGTAAGACAAGTCCTCGTACCTCGACGCTCGATCGTAGCTCCTCGGTGCACCAGCTTGCGGCAACTCTTCGTGACGCCTTGTGCTCCGATCTCTTGTCATCGCTTCCTGTGCCTCCTGTGCCGCTGCAGGCATCCACCGCAGCTGCTCCGACGTATGCACCAAAAACCACACTCGACGATGCTAATTCTGCCCATCCTTGCATGGCTGTGTCCAAGTACCAAGCCAAATGCAGCCAATACTCAAATACTTAAATGCACCCAAACTCGCACGCATCGCCTCTCCGAGGGCTCCCTTTTTTCGAAACTCTCTACACACTGTCCTTGAGTCCTCGTACCGCCGCGGATTGCAACGCCTAGCTTTCTCGCCCGGGTGGGCAAATGGGCCCTCCGTCCAATCATGGCTCCTCCCTCTCATACATCGCCTCACCTAGAATTCCAACATCCGGAACTCATTGCACCCGTATATGTCTATCACTGCCCACGCCTCCTCGTCCTCGTTCTTCGATGATACAAAATTATTGAACGACGCATCGAAAAATGTCTGTAATCCTAGCGACCAGGTCCCTCGGCCTCCAGCAGTGACGCCGATCCCAACTTCAATCCTCGCATGTCCGTTCGACTTGCTCCCTTCCTACCTCCTCATAAAAGCCCCCTTCACCGCTCCCCGCCTAGATCCGCGACTCCTCGTTTGCCATCAAAAATCTCGAAAACTCACCCTTAGACATTGACGACCTTGGCGGGCTCCAAAAGAAATTGTTGAATGTGTGCAACCCTAAACCCTACCCCCAAAAGCTGTGGCTCCTCTTGTACACCCCACCCAACGCGTCATCTCGAGGCGCCTCTGCATCGTACATCGCCGCGGGTAAGAACGAGGTCCACCGCCAAATTGCATGCTACGCTTGCACATCCTGTGACATAGGCATGTAGTCACCCATCGATTCATACAACGATGGTGACGACCAACTCCCTCGTCCAGCGATGCCACTTTGGTCGCTCCGCCGCTCATAAACGGTGACTTTTTTCGTCCCCCCACGAAACCCTAAACCTGTTGCATCTCTAAAACTGCCATTGTCTCCTTTGCAAGCCCCTGCTCCTCTTCACTCCACGTCTTTCTCCACCCCCTTCCCTCGGTTGCATCTCATTGGCCACACTTCCCTAAACCCTAAACCTCGAACTGCCCTCCGACCGCTCATTCTCCCCATGCTTTGCAAGCAAACCTGAACGATGTGTTTGTTGAGACATGCGCCGCACTATCTTGCTTTTCTGAGAAGCTTGAGGCAGCCTTCGATCGGAAGACTAGGCGACCAGGTTTTGGACCAACCCGTACAAGGGGGAAGGGTAATGAGAGTGGCATCTAGGGAACGGTGGCAGTATGGGATGGACGGTGCCCTTCATGTGCCTTTCTCCTGTGCAAGCGCATGTGCCCGGTTTTGGATGTAAACATGGTCGCGAGTGGGACCTCGCACGTGATATTCAGTTCTATGAATTCGCATCTATGAATTCATAATTTTTACAGCATGGTTACCTGCTCGTGTGTTCGGCTCAAAGTTTTGTGCTTCGCCTGATGTTTGAGTTGAGATAATTGTCAACTATCTACTTATAATGGTTCGGGTCCTAACGAAAATGGTAGTAGATGAGGGTGTTGGTTTAGGTGAAGGAAGACGAAGAGGTCGCCTCTTGATTATGACTGATGGCTCCCAAGGTGGAAACTCTCTTTCAATCAACACACATGGATTCTTTGCGCGAAAATCGTACTTTTTTAAATGGAGGTGTAGTGGTGGCATTGTTGAACTGGTATTGTTCTTCTGCAGCTAGAACTAAAGTGCATCTCTAAGCATTTTCAGTCTTGATATTGGAAGTACAAATGGCATCCAGCAAGTGGGTTATTGCTACACAAGGGTGATATGGCGAGGGAGTTGTGTTTCATAACTGTATTCACCTCATTCCCCTCCTATTCACAACTGTCGAAACGGCCGGCTTTACTCAGTCTACGACTATTCCTGTGGCCAGTTTCGACGACCCAAGACAAACGCTTTGCAGCAGCCATCCCTTGTCATGACTTGAACCTCTACCATGACAACGACGAGCGAGATGAACTGCGGAAAAGGAGGACTGCTCTCAACTGGGTGTCACACGCATGGTCGACCACTTCTCTTAGACTTCACTTGTGTCTTT